AATACATTGTATTTGTGTATAATGCATAGAATAACAACTCAAGGATGATTTAAAATATATGAAATCAGTATACACAAATTTAGTAATCTTAGGTGCATGCGACTATTAAATGTAATTAAGCTTTTATTTTTAAAATCACAAACCATTATAATTTATAATATTTYCTCACAATGTCTATGACACTTTCTTTATTGAAAAATAAATAAATTTCATTCCAATTGTATTTGAATGAGTAGTAATTTCATTACTTTATACCTAAGTAACAAGTAAAGTAACTTAATTACATTTTGAAAGAAATTAATCTGACGTGCAAATATTGACCTAGACTTAGATAGTTAATTCATGATGAATTGGTAGCTAATATGTTACAAAATTTATAAATCAAAATAAAATTTACCACAAATATTATTTTAATCGATTTTGAATGAATCACTAGGATATCCACAAGAATTACAAATTATAGATAATGCAATTCAAGTTATGTCCCTATCGCTAAATTGTATTCCTCTGCTTCGCATAAAACTCTATAAACAGTTTGATATTATTTCAGAGGATAATGATATTGGACAATTCAGAAATCTAAAATATGTAGTTTTTGTTTTCTGATTGAAAGAAAACCAGCTACAATATATTTTTCATAAAATAGTACATAGCCATCATACTCAATTGATATGAACATTACAAAATATTCAATTTGATCCAATAGTTATTTTTTTTAATTAATAATATTAATAAAACAATACAAAAYAATGTTCAAACATTGATAGAATCAAATTACATCTATAATAACTGACAAAGTTCAAAGACATTTTAACAGGTGTACTTAATACAGAAAACCAAGTTACTTCACAAAGATACATAAGAAAGCACTTTAAAACCGTGCATTTTTACAATTATATACATTAATAAAACTGTAAAAAATATCCAATTTTTTGACAGTGTAGAATATCGATTATTGCAAGGATAGATGAAAATAGTGTACCATCTGACAATAACTTATCACATTTAGAAAATGGTAAGACATCAACAAATTCATATTAGGTGAAAAAAAGTATGATTATTTATTAGAATAATAATAATATAACTACAGAATTTTATATTTTATAATAAATTAWTATTTATGCAGTAAAATTGTTGTTTAATTTATATAAAAAAAAAWAATAATAATTAAATATTATATTCTTATTATTAATTTTAAGTAAAAATACTGTCAACTTTTTCCCAATTTATCGGTGGAAAAATCACGTATGGCGGAGTAATACTAGTAAATGAAGTCAATAACATAATAAGTAAACGTTTATTTTCAGAAAATGTTGGTGTTTCACTATTGACGAGTGTGGGACTCACTACCACAGTGGTGTTTTTATTGGTTAATGTATCTGAATTTGAGGATGATCGACGTCGTCTGTTTCTTAACATGGRTCTTAATGAAGAACTGCCGAGSGATATRACTGAATCAGGTCCATCATCTGAACCTTTGGTCTTAACAAGAATTTGTCGTCGTTCCCTTTTCGAAAAAAAAAATATTGGTATTAATGGAAACAGAAACTCAATTAATGTTTTTTTTTTCAGTGATCACTACTTTAAATTATATTCTTCTGCTGTGCGCTACCCATACCCCTAAAAAATATAATGAATCTTGCAACTACTCTTATACAAATGAAGGCACAAAAAAAATCTATTGAGTTTTTGTAATTTCAAATTCTAAWAWAATAATATAAATCAATCGATTTAGGACCGTTGTATCTGTATCTCAAACAAATAAAAAGAAAATTGTTCAATATGTCACCATTTATAACATTATTTAGTCAACATAAAAATTTGTATTTAATATTAAGTTTGAATGTTGCCATTTTCAAATTTAACATCTAGAGAGTTATTCTTATATTATTGCTTAATGAATCTGAATTTATGAACAAAATTTGGTTAATTATGTCTAGGAGAAGGAGGCATGAAATTATTAATGGCTTAAGACAATTAGACAACTAGCAAWYAATTTCCCAGTACAAAAAMCAACTACTACCTTTGCATAACCGYAAATAGAAATATCATAACATACTCAAATTGCAATGGAAAAATTTAAAAAAAACCGGTCAAGTGCGAGTTGGAATCGCGCACCGAGGGTTCCGTACAAACCTGTAGGTATATAAGTAAAAGTTYAMCCATCACGACAATCGAGTCATAGTTATGGTATTTTTATTGCAAAATGAAATTTATAACATCAAAATATGGAAAGCTAGAGGATCATAAATACGCGTTCATGAGGAAAAGGATTAGAAGTTTAAAATTATTTGAAAAAAAAAATATGTGATCTAACTAAAAATTTAAGGTTTTCGGAATTTTTCTGTTATATGTG